CGCGCCGCGTCTTCCGTTTAACGGGCAAATGTTAAAAAACCTATAGAAATGTAAAGAAAATTTATACACATCATTAAAATCTACATAAAACATATTATTTTTGACCGCCAAATGGCATATTTTTTTTACTTTTTTTACTAGATTACCAAAATCGCTAGACCTGCCTTTGCCAAAAACTAATCAGCACGTCTCCTTATCAATACAAATCGAATGTTTTTTGAATCATTCAAATCGGTTGATCTGTGTAACCAAAATCGTCGACGAAAAATTGTATCCGCACACACACACACATCAATTTTTTCTAACGTATGCCAAAATGTTCAGAAATCTTTGAAACGTTACAATTTAAAAATGTAAAGTATGTTGTTACATATAATTTTATAAATTACACTACAATATAAAAAATGCCAGTTTTCTGATTACAAAAAAACTGAGTGAAAATTTATTTAGAACAGCAATTTGATAATACCACAGTTTTACATTAAATATTTCTCAAGAATATATGTATACTGATTGAAGAAAAAAATGCATATTTAAGCATTATTAGTAGAAAAATGCTTTTCGTGATTATAATGATAAAAAAGATCAGTTAAATTTATTAAGAACTAATATGTGATATCATCAGTAATTTATTTTATTTAAATGTCAAAGTTGCAAGTTCTTCGTTTATAAAAAATTGCTATTTGAAGAAATTAATTATTATTTAAGATAATGACAATTTCATAAGACATTTTGCAAATTCTATTCAAATGAATTCTGACAAATTTGATACCGTTGTTGTTGGGTTATTTAAATACACACTTTTGTAACAGAAAAATTCATAATAAGCAGTACATAATATATATAATATATTATATATATATATATATATATATATATATATATATTTGTAGAGTTTCGAACAAGAATCCAAAAATAATACAAAATAAAAAACAAGAAAAGTTTTTAAAAAAAACAATTTCTTTATTTAATTATTTGTTTATTGTCGACGTTCGGAACTAGGTACGTTCCATCTTCAGGACATCTGTCAAGAAAAATGATCTTGATGAGATTTTAGCAAACAATATGTTTAGGAAAAGAAAATAGATTTTTCTTAAATAATGAATTATTTGCAAAAAAATATAATAATGTACAGAAATATGATAATATGTTCAAAATGAAAATGATAAAAATGATAAAAATAAATGAGTGGATTATCAGAACAGGATATTAAACATAATAGAAAATTTTTTGAAAGTTATGGAAATTTTTTAGAAAAGGTTAATGACAAAGTTGAATTAATTACCTGTATGTTTGAATATTTGTTAGCACTTTTTCACTAAACAAGCTTTTTTAACAAAAATGAATTTGTGAGTTAATTTTCCGCCGAATAATTAGATTTTGTAAATCAAAATTACTAAAAGATTTGTCTTTTTTAAAATTATTATTTGAAAACACAAATAATATTGTTCTCTGGATGTTGTTCGATTGGCTTTTGAAAATTAACTAATTGAAACACACCAGTTTCAATTAGTTAATTTTCGTAAACCAATCGAACAACATCCAGAGAACAATATTATTTGTGTTTTCAAATAATAATTTTAAAAAAGACAAATCTTTAGTAATTTTGATTTACAAAATCTAATTATTCGGCGGAAAATTAACTCACAAATTCATTTTTGTTAAAAAAGCTTGTTTAGTGAAAAGTGCTAACAAATATTCAAACATACAGGTAA